AGTCCAAAAACCAATGGGTGACCAGTCTATGCCCAAAACCTGCTAAAAGGTTCTAGTGGTCAAGGAAAAATTTGACTTTTAGACAGGAGGCATTCTACTAATGTTAGTTTAACCTTGGGTACTCTCTAACCTTAACCAGGGGGTTGATTGGTCTAGAGATGGCTGATTAGTATTTTGAAAGACATTGACAAAAATCTGTTAAGATTGGATTGCTTTTTCTTCTATGCAGCGGAAAAGCGTATAAATACTGATCAAATGACTAACTCTGGCGGACAAACGATGTAATGGATTACTGTTCAGAGATTAGTTCACATATTGCTCATACTAAATCTCAATTGGCAAATATCTGCTCAGCTTATCTAGCTCTATTCCTGAGATGATTTAGGTAGAAAATACATTCCTTAGCGTTCGCCTCAGAGAGACAGAGACTGAGAAATGGAGCGATTTGAAAGAGTGAGATCAGGGATGTGGGTATGACTGCAGGATCAATAATGAAGGATGTTCTTCTGGATAGTAAATCAGCTCAGCAGTACATTCTCTCCCCTCAGTTGCCACTTTTATCCTCACTCATAAATACCAGGATTACAACTTGTTATGATGGGGAACTCCTCGCACTGTAGTGCTGTTTTAATGATGTAGGCCATTCTTGATTTATATACAGCACAGGCACACTGATCTCTAACCGTCCTATAATCCAGCATCAGGAAACGGACGTAGCTGGACACCATGAAACTGTCATTTTGAACAAATTTGCCTTTTTTTTATTCGTTTATATAACAATGAACACTCTCCTATTTATTGTTTCTGCTTTTTGTTGCCCAACTTTTACAGTTTAAATAATAGATTCCATACAACTGAAATGAACTGCTATCTCCCTTATTCACTTGGGTTGGGTACCAAACTCTGTACTTCCATGGGTATTGATCGAATAACGAAGGTACTACTGAATACTGATGCCCGTTAAATCCATCTGTGTCAAATGTTGGTACTTGAATGCCTCTGGTTGAGGGAGTCTGAGGCTGCATCTCAGGTCGGTTAAATGGATTCCTTGCGTCCCTCACTTTCGTCGTTTCCCTGCGACTAGTCCCTCCCACCAGGGAAGCATGGAGAGACGCAAGGAAACCACGAGAAGCATTGTATTAAATGTCGTAGAACAAAACGTGATCTGTCTCTTCAATTTGTGTCAAACACAGACCTTATTTGGAACTATTTTCCAAAATCCTATGGAGAAATTGCATTGCTTTTTGTCGAAGGAACCGGACGTGGTAAAAATGCTAACTTACTTCCGAGTTTTAGGACGCGTCACTGCGGTTCTCTATTAATTGCAGTGTTGTTATAATGCGTAAAATAAAAGTTTGAGAGACTGATTTAAGTGAGATAATAAAGACACACAAAGGACTGACGTTATTCACCCCACATTACAGCAACACAGTTTGGCATTTTGTCACTTCACTGGACCACTTTGCATATCTGCCAGTGTCAGGAAGGCTGCATACACTCCTCCATACGAGGAGCAGGAGTCAGGTGATGGAACGAGGGTCTCGCTCCATGTGATCCTCCTGCTCCTTCATCCATGGCCAAGATCTACCGGAGGCCAGAGATGAATCATTGAATTCATAGATTATGTTGTCTGATTGCCTTTCACTCGGTTAAATTGTAGTTTTAGTCCTATATGTGTTTAACAGACATATCATGGCAATACTAATGTTGAGGTATAATGTTTTTATAATTTGTATGCTATGACGTTTGTATTTTGTTTTTGTCTTTGCTTTGGTTTGCTTTGTCCAGCCCTTTGAGGCCTTTCTTGTGATTTGGGGCTATAATACATTTTGATTTGATATGTTTGGATTGACCTTTCAGGAAGGGCAAAAGGTGGATTTGAAAATGGTTAAAGGACTGGGGGGTTTTCTGGTTTAATTGTGGGGATGTTTAGATAAAGCCTAAGACAATTGATGGGTGGGACAAGTTGGCATTCTCTCTACTGTGTGTGTGACGTAAGCTGTGCTCTGTGTGCAAAGCCATTTTATCCTTTAAGGATGAAGTAGCTCTGTTACTGCAATTGGGGGCGTGTGGCGTAGTGGGTTGTGCGTTGGTGTTTGGATCAGTGGGTCACAGGTTCAAACCCCACTGCATGTCGTTGTGTCCCTGAGACACTTCACCCCAAATTGCTCCAGTGGGGATTGCCCACAGTATTGAGTATGTCAGTCGCTTTGGATAAAAGCGTCTAACAAGTGACCTAATAACCTGTAATTGAGATCGATTTAAATTGTATATAGACTTTCTTTATTACTTTATTAAATGTAACAAAAGACAAACTTTGCCCATGAATCATTTATCAGTTTCTCTGAAAGGTCACCTATTGTGCAAAATCCACTGTGAAAACAGATTCTGAAAGTTACCGAAAAAAAGATTCGCTCACTCTTTGGTCCTGATCCATTTATATAGAAACCTGTCTGAAAATGAGCTGATTGTCACGGCTGGAGGGCAAGGTAAGCAGGACCCAAATGCAGAAAATAGGTTGAAAGCAGGAATCCTTTATTTCCAGAACTATCGGCAAGGCAAGACAAAACATAAAGTCGCTCAGAACATAAACCCTTCCAACAACGTCAAGAATCTCACAACGACAGACAGAAAAACCAGAAGTTAAATGCACACAAGACTAATCACATAAACAAGACACAGGTGGGGAGGGAGGAGAAAACACAGGGGCACAAGGTGAACACAATCGGGTAATCAAACAGGAGGGAACACAATCTCAAGTATGCTTGCTTGGTAGCACATGTCTTCCGAGCGTCTTGCTTCAGAAGCGAGGCAAGAATACTTCCTAGCCTCGGAAAACGAAGAGTGGAACAGGCGAGCAAGTGTGCGTCATACGAGAGGCCCCGCCTTACATTTTCCGCCACAGATTTGGGGAAATTGGTCCGTGCGCAAAGCATTGTGGGGATTTTAAGACCGCTGAGTCTACACATATGCAGCCTCGAAATGTCTCCAAATGAAGTACGCCGGCCTCGGGAGAATTGCAAGTATGCTGCACTTCAGTACTTCGGCGGGACTCGATGACGTAGTATGCTTGAAATAGTGGCTCTGGAGCAGCTTTACTCGAGATTGAGACAGGAAGCAACAGACAACACTTTTCAAAATAAAACAGGAAACCAAAGACAGATCTTGACAGGACAAAATAAAACAGGGAAAACTAATACGAATCATAACACTGATCAGATTTTGGCCACTTTATGATGTCATTGTTTGGCTTGTGTAGCCATTAGCCAATCACCAACCAAGGTAACCCCCCCCTTATCACCTGAATCTCCTCCTAGAGCACCATTGAGTTCTTTTTAACCAAATCTCTCTCAGAGGGGTGTGGGGAGGGGCTCCTTATTTTCATCTAAAGTAACAGACAGAGAATCAGCACTTTGGAAACAGGGCTGAAACAGAGGGGATTATGGGTAATGCTGCAATGATCTGTTTGGTGTTTCAGCCAATCAGAGACAGGTTCTGTATATATCTGAGACCTGTGATATATTGATGAAAAACAGTATAATTGGGGACCTTTAAGGGACTTAGAATTTCCTGAGAGCAGCTTCTCACACCGTTACACCAGTTACTGCAACAACATGCTCCATTATACTGGATTGCAGACCTTTGGCTGCCAGACAACGTTAAACACATTGCAGCAACACTTACAGTAACACTGAGAGGAAACACACGGCATCAATAATAATGAATCACTCACTCATTCAAACGCTGTCTCGCTGGCTCACCCACACACTCCACTAAGTCACTTTCTCACACACTTGCTGTCTCATGCTCATTCACTAACTACGCAGCAATTGTATCTTTTACTCATGGGCAAACCGACACTAATCAATCATTTACGATATGATACAATATGATAATACCTTTGACGCAACAGGATAATACGAAAGACTCTTGAATTAACATTTTAACTGGAAATAACTTGTTGACTTTGAGGATTCACTGTTGAAGACATGGTTGGAGACAATGCTTTTATAGTAGGTGCAAATACACAGAAGAAATCTAAAATATCTCTAAGGTAAAGAATAAAAAATAAAAATGTCTAGACTCTTAAAAACCCCACAAGTGACTTAGGGACAACAACACAGTATAGAGTCACTCCATCCAACAAAATACAGAGGAAAATCTTTATAAAAAACCGCTCGTTAATACTTTTTTAAACAGAGCAATTTGAATGGACTACTTTCAGTGGTGGATTGATACACATGTGGAGCTCTAAAGCAGGGGTTCCCAACCTTTTTTGACCAAGAGCCCCCCCCAAATGACTCCTGTTGGAAGTTGCCCCCCCCCCCACACACACACAAGGGGGGAGGGGGGGCGCAACAGCGGTAATTAAAGTTTAAAAGTCTCAAAAATGCTACAACTACTCCCACAAACTGGATGAATGTGAAGTATTTTGTTAAAGGAGGATGAAAGCGTAATTAAGGAGCACTATTGGAGTGACCTTGATGGTTATTGGACTCAGGATTCATTCATTTGGATTCCCGCTGTATGAAGAAATTAAAGGACGGCGCAAGTGGAAACAATTCACAAAGGGATTGAACTGTTTAAAACACATGCTCAAAGTAAGCCGGGTTTTGCCGATGTGTTTATGTGGATTCAAAAGTTGTAAATAATCTACAAAATGGAGGAGACCGATCTGATCGGAGCAACTGTGACAAATAATCCAACTGAAACCGGCATGGACGATGACTATGTTTTAAAAATGCGCTTATCCAGAAAATCCTGGTTTGGACACTTTACGGGCAGAAGAAACATTTCTATTAAAGAAAGAATTATACATTTCTGTCTTTTTATGCCTTTAATACTAACTTGAATTTTTATTAAAATTAATTAATCACGATAGTTTATTTGTACGTGTAAATATGAATTAATGTTGCCTAAATTCATCTCTTGCAGGTCTCTGTCGGCCTCCATGTGTAACCTCATTGTTCTGTTCTCTGGTGCGCCTCCAACGGGGTGTTTTGATGCCCTCCTTCCAGTGTGTAGCAACCAGTATTTTGGCTGTTTGTTATCAAACGTATAGTTTACTTCTTTTACTTCCGCAACATGCCTCAATTTTAACATCTGATCTGGTCTGATGTGTGCCGTTGCTTGTGAAAGCTGCGATTGAGCTGACTCTAAGAGGGTATGAAGACAGTGTAGTTGCAACTCAAGCTCTCTGATATCTTATACGTATGTTTAATTTTCCTTGCCCTTTATCTTATTTTGTTTACTTACATTTGTTTTTAACATGTATATTTTCTTACTTTTTATTTCTATTGATGTTCATTTGGAGTTGTTATTTTCTTGTCTTTTAACTTCCTTATGTACAAAGCCATGTCTTTGTATGCTGCTCTGCAAGGCATACCACTGGCCCCAATCGAGATTCAATAAAGTACCTTGCACCATCATCCTCACTGATACTATAGAAACAACTTCCATAACATTCATTCTGGCTGCAATTAAATGGTATTTATCCACTTTATACAATGCATTTATTCAATCACTGTGTGTATAGACTCTTATTGCCTAATTTTGATGATTCCCGTCTATTATTGTGTTGCTCTTGTTGGAGGAGCTGTAGACCTAAGACTGTTAATCGACATGACTACACTGTTAGCTATGTCTGTATGACCAACATAAAATATAAAGCCCTTGGCCATCCCCACGTTCTGCTCGGAGCCTCCTTGCGAGTGCAGGTCCCGTCACAGATCCCTCCGTCCTCGCAGGCGATCCTTGCTGAGGGGTGAGGTGTGTAGACACTCTCTTGGGTGCTTGAGTGCTGTCTAAATCGGGGGTGGGCGGCTCGCGTCTTCATTTCCTTCTTGACCATCTGTTCCCAGTCGATGTGTTCGCGGTCAATTAATCTGCCGAACAGCCCACTGTCAAACTTGTGGTCAGGTGATAGTCTGTTGTTGACTGCATGGCTCTGGTCATCCAAATATGACGAGTCGATATACAAAGATCTGTATCCTGAATCTGAACTGTTATTGTTAATTGTGTTCTTGTATATCATAAGTCGATAATGTGCTTTCATCACCAGCGTCTCTGTGTGTCACATCATCCTGATCTAAGGATATGATTCAAACTTATGTTGATACACGCTTTGTGTATGCTACTACAGCAGAGATCAGTTGAGATGAGATTCTGTTCTCAATAAGTAGCCTTCAGCTGTGCACTTTGATCTGGGCATCCAGCCTCGTAGTATTAGCTTGATTTGAGGGATTGTCTTGGAGCTAAAGCGATTGCTTTTTCAGTGTTTGAAATGTATCTATTTACTCTCGTGTACAAGTATTGTGTTACGGTGTACTCCAATATTATTATTTTCCACAGTTTGGAACTGTTTTTATTCCCTCTTGGTGGGTCAGGTCGGTCTTATAGCAGCAACAAAGGGGTCAGAGGTTTCATTCTAAAAAGAAGGATTGGGACCTATGCAAAACGATACTGACCTGATCATAGTGCACGTTGTTTGCCATGTGTAAAGCATATTCATTAATGTCTTCAATTCGATCTATTTTGTCATTAATATATATGGCAATAGGGTCAGAATAGACTTTCTACTTTGAAAACAGTCTGCTGGTATTCAGTACTTTTTATGTTCTGAGTATCTTCTCAAAAGCCATCTAGTTTTACTTTGTTCTTGTAAAGAGTAATGCAAGTTTAAGTCAGCACTTCTACTTTCATCCACAGAGTATCATATTTTTATACCCGAGATCAGCCTCTGATATACTTCTGTACCATTGTTAGTAAGGACGTGTTGTACTTCTGCCATCTCTGATCAATGTTTGTGATGTATTACTATGTATATTAAGTTCGTTTTTGTACCCAGGCCTTGGCTCTATTGGCTGCATGTCGCAGTCATTCTCTCCGTCGACACTAAGGTAATGCTTGCATTGTGGTGATGGCAGCTATCAGGTTGTTGCTGTTCACATCTGGTTTTGCTGTCCGTTCCAGTCTTTTACTGGGGTGCAGCTGATACTCACAGGATGGTCTTCTTCTGACACTGAGATATCGCCAGGTCACACCTGCGTCCAGAGGGATGCATTCTTCCCGTGAGCGCACTGGAATACTGATCTGCGAGAAGAGGTTACAACCACAAGCAAATCACAGTGCTCAATATTTTATTGGTGTGTATAAAGTGCTCCTGAAAGAATTAGTGGATTTGCCAATTTTTATGCATAAATATAGTCTGTGCCATCTATTCTTGTTATCGAAATACTGGTTCTTGTTCCCAGTAGATTTATGACTTTATATTAGTT